ATTATTAAGATGATTTTTTAAATCTTACATAGTTGTTGTTCTTAATCCTTGTAAATTAGTTATCAAAATCTGGACAATGCATCTAGCCTTTTTTCTAAATTGAGTACAAGTTATAGCACTGCATTGAAGTCTTTTAGAAGGAACTTTTAATATTTGAATCTTGATAAACTTAGCTTAATATAGTTATATCTTTCTGATTTGTGCTTCTTGAAGCTTTTAAAGTCAGTCCTTGGTATCAGAATTCCCATTACATATTTCAGTGACACTATTGTTACTCTTTACAGATATGCAATGCCGTTGCCTTGGCATCTCTACTTAATGCAACCCTAGTTCTTCCCAGATTTCTTTACAGCAATGTATGGAAGGATCCGAGGTCTGATATTATCATACAAATTGCTTCATCTAATCTGTATTACTGGCTTCTTTCCATGTTATATCTGAATGTGGTCACTGTTCAAACAATCTGTTCACAAGATGATTGTTAGTCTATTCTGTGTTTGAAATGCAGTTTGCTTCATGAACTACCTTTTCTTTCGTAAAAAGCTAGCTTACATTATTTTCAAAGGGAAGCTAAGTTGTTATTCAATGATATTTAAACATCTATATCTCTATCTTCTTCATGAGCTGAGCATGGCAATTCAGTATTATCTGCAAAAATCTCACCTCTTTCACTTTATGGAAATGCAGCCAATTCGGTGATATCTATCAAGAGGAGTACTTTGTGAATGTCATGAAGGATGAAGTGAATCTCGTAAAGGATCTTCCTTCTCATTTGAAGTCGTTAGATATTGAAGCAATCGGTAGCCTAGTGTGTGATCTTCTTGGATTCTACATGCTTACTACGAAGGCAGCGGCTATTTCTGAGCATTACCTTATATCTCTTTTTTATCTTGCTTTTGTTAGATAACTGATGCAGACATTGTGAAGGAGGCAAAGCCCATTGATTACCTTACAAAGGTACTTCCTCTCCTGCTGCAGAATGGAGTTGTCCACCTTCTTGGATTCGGAAATCGGCTTGGATTTGATCCATTACCTTCTAGACTTCAGGTAAAGGACGTTACTTAGAGATTCAAATATTACAGGAAAGTTATTAGACATAAAGAGCTCAATGTAAACAAGAATCTCCTCACAATGTCTTTGATGTGTTTTAAGTATTCCGAGATACCGCTTCACCTTCTAGGCAAGGTTTTTTCACAAGTGTGACCATTGACCTTTGCACCTGAAAACCCAGAAAATAACAATGCAATACAAATAGTGATTTCGCTACTGAATTAACAAGATATAGCTGGTCTTTTTTTCTGAAGCATGTTGCTTGGTTGTAACCTATCTATAACGTTCGAAAATGGATTACATCAACAACTGAAGGAGGCATGAGGCATTTTATGGCACACACATCACGAATGAAAATGATGCTGGAGATCAGAGACAAATTCTGCAATCATTCGAAGATACATGACAGATAGTTACTCGCATAGTCACTTACTACGAAAGTATTCATTTATATGAAAGCAATCGTAATTCAGTTTATATGAAAGAAGCATTATTTATAGTTTCATTATTGCATTTATATGAAAGCTGCATCATTTATAGTTTATAGTTTCATTATTGCATTTATATGAAAGCAGCATCATTTATAGTTTATTATATTGCCTTTGTGATAATTGAAATATTCTCCAGAAATTAAGGTGCAAATGTAACTTCCATGCGTTGAAGTTTGTGCCAAAAATCCAAGAAGCTGGTTCACTGTTGATCAGAAGGATAAGGGAGTATGATACTGCACAGAGGATGTTGGATAAACAACTTGTTGGAGAGTTTCTGCCTGGCAGTCTCTCAAAAAAACATGATTCAGAAAGAGGTCCATCCAAATATCTTGCTTTACACTTGAGGTTTGAAGTTGATATGATTGCCTACTCCTTGTGTGATTTTGGAGGAGGGGAGAAGGAGAAAAGGGAACTCCAAGCCTACAGAGAAAGTCATTTCCCTCTGCTCATTGAACGCTTGAAACATTCCAAGTACGAATTTCTTCAGCTTTTTAACTCATACGTACTCCCTCTAGATAATCTTAATCTGGAATCCATCTCTTTCACATCACTTATGTTTGCAGGCCCATCTCTTCATCAGAGTTGAGAAACTTAGGGAGATGTCCACTAACACCTGAAGAAGCCGCACTTGTACTTGCTGGTCTTGGATTCAAACGTGGAGCTTACATTTATCTTGCTAGTTCTCGTATATATGGAGGGGACTCTAGGATGCATTCATTTACGAGCCTCTATCCCAACTTAGTCACAAAGGAAACTCTCCTGACACCTAGTGAGCTTGCACCTTTTCGGAATTTCTCTTCACAGGTATCCAACTATTCTTTGGGCATGTTCAACTTGAAAATACTTGGCAAATTTCTGCGTGCTAAGTGTTTTGGAACTATTTATTCACTTAAATTTTAGAGAACTGTTTTGGTTGCAGCTAGCAGCATTGGATTTTATCGCCTGTGCAACTGCAGATGTCTTTGCCATGACTGATTCTGGGAGCCAACTCTCATCCCTAGTATCTGGATTCCGCACTTACTATGGTGGTGGCCATGCCCCTACCCTGCGGCCTAACAAGAAAAGGTTAGCAGCAATTTTGTCAGAGAATAGCACCATAGGTTGGAATAGTTTCGAAGATAGAGTAAGAAAGATGATTGGGGAAGGTCAGAGCGTTTTGATACGGGGTTATGGTCGAAGTATTTATAGACAACCGAGATGTCCAGAGTGCATGTGTAAAACCCAGTAGCATGTTCCCAGGTGCAAGAATTTTTCAACGCTCTGTTGTTTTGATTTGCATATGCCCAGAAAAGCATTCCCTGTAGGCATCCCAATCAAGGCGTGGCTCCTCAATTGTTGATCATGTCATCAGGAATGAAAATGACAATGCTGATAGGCTGCTGTATCATTATTCATTTGTTCAAATCTTTAAACAACTGTATGTTGTAGTTGTAAATTTTCTTCCCTTTGGCTCTAATTCCTTTGATTCTTTCCATTTGTATATTAATACACACGTTCAATCCAATAATATGCATTCCTGATACTAATATTATGATAGGGGTCTTGTCTTTTCTTTTTGCTATTTGAATTGGAAGGTTTCTATGTCATTTCTGAAACAGCACAACTTGCAGCAGCTGCTCCACCCCTCCCTCCCCTGTTCCTCGTGAGCGCAATACTGCTGTGAGAAAACAATCAACGTAAAGTGGTTACAAATGAAATACCAGCAACTACACAATAGCAAATCCCGTAGGTAGTGTTAGGAATGCTGGACAGTATTACTCAGATTGGACTGGATAAATAACGGTCTTGTTCCATGTTTGGTGTGTTTGGGGTTGGATTGAATAATTTGTCTTCTAGACAGTATTAATTGGATTGGGCTGGATGTTCTCTGTTTGATGTGTTTTGGATTGGACTGAATAATTTATTTTATTTTATATTTGATAAATATTAGATAGATACACGAGATTGGTTTGATTATTATTTTTTAATTTAAGTCAACCTGGATTGATTTCCCAACAAATAACTTAGGTTTTATCTTGGAATGACTCTTGAGTTAAGTTTAAAATTATGATAATAATTATTTTTATTCACGTTATTTTGGATTAACTCTGGTTGACTATCTTGACTCATTACATGAGTTTTTGCTTCGGATTGACCCCTTACTTAGATCATAAAACTATGATAATAATAATTTTTTTTTATATTAATCTAAGTCAATAATTAACTTAAATCATGATCTAGACCTAGTTCATAAATCCTCCTAGCTAACCTCAAATCGATTCTTAAGTCGAATTTTAAAATTATAATAATAATTATTTTTATCTTAAGATTAACTTGGGTCAATAGCCAACTTGGCCCGTGACCCGAGCTTGGACTTGAGTTAACCTCTGAATCAAGCATTAAAACTATGATAATAACTATTTTTATCCGTATATTGAATTAATGATCAACCTATTCTGTGATCCGGACTTGATGAATCAGGCCTAACTCCAAGTCAACTATCAAGTCAGGTTTTAAAACTATAATAATATAACTATTTTTATCATAAGATTAACTCGGGCTAATGGTCAACCCAACTTACTTGGCCTTGGGTTAACCTCTGAATTGAACATTAAATTAAAACTATGATAATAATCATTTTTATTCTTATAATGAATTAATGGTCAACCTAACTTGTGATCCGGACTTGATGGATCAGGCCTAACTCCAAGTCAATTATAGAGTCAGATTTTAAAATTATAATAATATAGTTATTTTGATTCTAAGATTAATATGGGTTAATGATCAACCTAATTTATAACCTAAGTTTAACCTCAAGTCAATCCCTAATAAATTAAATTTTAAAATTATAATAATAATTATATTTTTATGAAGCATTAGACAAACATGTCATGCCCCTTTTTACTACAAAAATTTCTTCGCCATGACATCATCTTTGAACAGGATAAAAATTAATTCTTATACTGTATAAAGATATTCTAAACAATTTCAAGTCAATTATGGAGTCAGATTTTAAAATTATAATAATATAGTTATTTTGATTCTAAGATTAATGCAAGGGACAATGAATTAGATTTATTGTAATAAACCTAACCTACCCAAGTCCAAGTCAATTATTGGAGTCAGATTTTAAAACTATAATAATATAGTTATTTTTATTCTAAAATTAATATGAGTTAATGATCAACCTAATTTATAACCTAAGTTTAACCTCAAGTCAATCCCTAATAAATTAAATTTTAAAATTATAATAATAATTATATTTTTATGAAGCATTAGACAAACATGTCATGCCCCTTTTTACTACAAAAATTTCTTCGCCATGACATCATCTTTGAACAGGATAAAAATTAATTCTTATACTGTATAAAGATATTCTAAACAATTTCAAGAAAAAATTACCATACCCTATTTATCATTGTACAGCATACCAAACACTAGCTTAGGATAAGTGATTACTTTCTCTCAAAGCACACTATATGGATCATAAAATAATGAATTGAACTGATGAATGCAAGGGACAATGAATTAGATTTATTGTAATAAACCTGACCTACCCAAGTCAAACACATAAAACAAATGAAAACGAGAGAAGAGAAAGCAGAGGAGTCATTCTCTGCCAGCAAATGGATCCTTTGTTTCACTCCTCCTCGCTATAGTTGTTGTAATCCCCGGTCCCCCCTTGAACTGGAAATGATGTTTTTCCTCTAACATCCTTCTTTGGAATTGAAGTTACCTCAAGATGGAGGGAAGAAACGATCAAGGTTGAAAGGAAGGGTGTAGAATTCCTCATTCCTGCTGTCTCCTTTAAATGTCCGAAACTTAACCCACCATGGCATTCCCCTATCTCTGGCACTTTCCTTGTAGTCAAGTGTGTTGTCTAAGAAAACAGCGACTATCAGTGCAACAGTTGGGGATGAGAAGAAGATAGTGTTGAGGAAATCGTTGAACTGCACATCAAAGTAGAACTTATGGTAAGTTGTTGTTTTCCCTGTAATTGTTGGCTGCACGCTATAAGAACTAGCATTCATCTGCTTTAACTCGTCATGGAATACTACGAGTTCTAAGAAGTTGTTTTCATACTGGATAATAGAACTTACCCATCCAGCTCTAGTATGAGCGGGACCATGATAGGCCTTGGTGGTATATTCTCTAAAGTATTCAGGGACAGACAAGCCGAGAAAGAAGGCAACGCCAGTGATGAAAAGGTTTCTCATTGAGTTCATGTTTGTGAATTGCAAAAATGACAGCCCCACGGAAGCTATGAGAAGAGCAGTATTGTAACAATAAGATACAAATCATGAGAACTTTGATAAAATGACAATGGTAACAAATGAGAAGCCCCATTTACTCACCAACAAGACCGAACAACACACAGTAGACAGCAGCAAATATAGGGAAGGGTATTGACGCAAATAAAGCTCCAAATTTTCCTGACAGAAGGTGGAAAAGATTAATACAAGTTATCAGACAGGGTTTTTTTTTACAAATAAGCGCATATACTTCATACTTGGCTGTATTTCTTACCTAATACAGAGAAGAATATCATAAACCCAGCTGAGATTTGAATAACCCTGCGGCTTCCAACACGAGTGCTTCCAAGCAGCCCAATGTTTTCTCTGTTGTTTTTTTTCATACATTAGTCCAGTTGCATAGAAAGTGAGAACTGTAAGAGAGTGATGATGAAACTATGCTACTTACACAGAGACCGTTGAGCCTGTCATTGTTCCAAATAATCCATCCAATAGGATCCCAATGCCCTGCCAGCCAATACCACGGCTAAGAACATGAGCTGGAGGTGGGGTGGCGCTTGCTAGACGTGACGCAGCTTTGTATGCTCCAGTTGACTGTTAGAGAAGGCATTAGTCTCTCTTTCTCCAACTAAATAGAATAAGATTGACGAACTAGTTTGTACCCTTACCTCAATCAGTGAGACAAAAACAGCAGCCATCATTCCGAAACAATGGCCGGCATCAAAGGTGGGAGCACCCCATTGACGAGGATATGGGATCTTTATCCTGAATAGTTTGTTCTCGTATTAAAATTGTTTTGAATCACATTTTCAAATTGACATGTATCCAAAGAAAAGAGCACAGTTACCAACCATGGAGCAGAAGAAATGAGGTACGCTTGATCAGTTCGACAGTTTTTTTGGGTAATTTCTGGACGATGTTTGTACGCACCACTGGCTGTCAGGAGGTGAGCATATGCCCATATCACTGTGATCGATAAAAGGAGAGCAAACCGCTCCAGTATCGGCACTTGTTTTGTCTGAAAATTTTTCAAGTACTGCACCAGCATAGCAATATAAAACAAAAAACATTTAGTGTTTTTTTTCGAAGTCGCTGAACAAGAAGGCTGGTTCCTGAGCTATGTACTAATTATTGTATCTTTATGCCATAATTTTGCATATACAACACCAAGAGTGATTGATTTTAGTCTCTTTATACCATGTGATGTGTATTGGTATGTGAAGCCAACAGGTTCAAACTATAACAAAAGTTTTTGACATTAGGATTAGCTGTTAACACCTGGGAGCAGATTACGAATAGGATAAGCATGGGAAAGCCAATTTCTACACACTGTCCAGCCTGAAACGGATTCACAAAGGAACAAACGAATTGCATAACAGTCAGAAAGATACTCCTGATGTTCATAATGTAGAAAACAACTAAGAATTACTCCAGAAAAAATGCACAAAATCCGCTGCTGAAGTAAAAATAATGTCATTGCAATTTAAGTAGTGACTGTACCACGGGGAAGCCTCTATCAAACAGGCCAAAACCTACTAATGCAATGACTGGAACCATTCCAAGTGGACTGAAGAATCTGAAAGGAAAAATAAGACCAATAAATCAAAAAAAAAAAACATATAATGCTAAAGCTTGTTTCCATGATTATGAGTCTGGGATTCCCTTTTCATAAAGCAGTGGTACCTGGAAGAAATGGCCCATAACTGACTGTACCCCAGAATTATTTGTATGCTTGATGATACTATTAGAGCACCTTGGACTGCTCTCATTGTGCTAAGAAATCTCTAGACAAATACAGAATTTATGTCCATTAGTTTTTGCTATAATTATAATGATGATAAATCATTAAACAAGGAGTAATTGGAGCATCTCAATCCAACACTTCTTTTGGTTACACATAGACTTGGAGTGATCGATCATGTTAGAATTCCTTCCCTCCAAACTACTACAGGAACAAAAAAAAAATATTGCACTTATTCGCGCTACTACAGGAGTAACATTTGAATTTATATCACTGATTTGATTGACTTGGACTTGGAAAATTTGGATAGTCCACAGCCTTTAGCCTTACACATAAGAAAGCCAATTGCAAGGGCCTCTTGATCTTCTTAGTTCTCACAATGGACTTTCAACTTGTAAGGTAAAAAATTGAGAACTGTAAGAGAAGACTAGAAAATTAAATTAGACTAACCAAATGGTCATCAGGAATTCTCATCAAAGAAGGGTCATGAATTATTGATATAATGGGGACCATGAATGCATAAGATCCTCCGATTACGGTCGGTAAGCGTGTCCCAAACAGTGTTTGAAGAAGTGTGTTGATCCCTTCAACAAAAAGTAGAGTTTGTACCACCCTCACTTTATCACCCTGAAACACATCATGTACCACCCTCACTTTATCACCCTGAAACGCATCATATTAGCCCCAAAACAAATAAGAATTTACCTTCACTGGCCTAGTCTACTTGAAGTAAAAAGAATTGGCATCTTCTTTCAGGCCATATGGCCAAAGCATTATCACTGGATATATAGACTGCAGGAGGAAGTGGTAGTGTAAATTTTATCACTGGATATATAGAAATCAGGAGGAAGTGGTAGTGTAAATTGACTCACATGATTACCACCCATCAAAGGAACAAGAAATGAAGGGATCATAACAGCAGTTCCTAAAGCCAAAATATAATGCTGAAAACCCAAAGCTACAGCCTCCCCTGCTTCCATAAACACCAAGTTAGAAAAAAGGGACTCAAACGAACTAAAAAGACTTGACGTTTCGAAAAAAAGAAAAAAAGAAAGGAGAGAAATGGACATACCCCAAGATGGGTTAGAATCAATACAATACTCTAACCCTTGAAGTTGGTCCATTGGAGGGTGACTTATCTCTTCTGGTTTTGGATCAGCAGCCATTGCTTAATTACAACCCTCAAAACCACTCTTGGTTTACTTCTTAAACTCAAAACTGAAAAAAAGGGTATCTACTAAATGAATTAAATAAATGATGATAGATAGACGATTAGCTAGGGAGAAAGAAAGAGAGAGACTCCCAAGTGATCACAGGAGTCTTCGCACAGCAAGCTAGTGCAAGCAAAGTGAAGGAAATGCAATTAGATTGACTGAATAAGAACGAAAAAGCAAGATGAAGCAAAAACGGGGCAGAGAGAGAGATAGAAAGGTAAGACAGAGTACAAAATCGAGAGAAAAAATGGTACTTGCCGCCCACTGATCTTGCCTTTCTTGCTTTCTTACTTTCTACAGGTTTCATGCCTATATAATTTATATGCTTTGCTTTGCAAATTTTTCTGGGGTAAAACCAATAGTTTCCGTTAACCTCTTTCATATTTCCTAAAGTGCCCTTTAGGAAGTGCCGAACTGAATGTTACCGTTGCCCGTCTGCCTCTCTGTTCCTAATAAATTAAAAGGAGATAGTGTTTGTGCATGCACATATATTACCTTAAACAAATAGAAGTAAAGGCTCTTCCTGTCATGTGACGTGTAACGCCACAATGTTTTTGTACTCACTCCATTTTATTTATGAAATGGTTGCTTTGTCTGCTTTATACTTTAAATAGTAAGAACTAAGAAGCTAGATTTGGTATTTATTTTTCTCTCAGTTAATTATGGTAAAATGACATGCAAGCAAGTGTTCTTTGTTTATACTTTTGGTTTCGCTTTTATTTTTGTTCAATTAAAAGTTTTTGATTTTTTTTAATTTTCAGTTGTTTTGATATTATATGTTGATGTTAAAAATAAATTTTTATAAATAAAATATATTATTTTAATATATTTTTAAATAAAAATATTTTAAAAATCAACAAAACTTTATTTTAATTCTTTAATTGCTATATTTAGTGTTTGGTAGTGGATTTATTTCAAGACAGGTCATGTCAACCCAAAAGCAAAATCTTTTTTTTTTTTTCCATCAAATGCCTTTTATCAACCCAAAAGCAACCCGAGATTAAGAATTATATATGACATGGTGGTGGGTGGGCCCTACTTTACAGTAAAGTCATAGCTATATTTATTTTATTTGAATCCTTTTTATAAATCACTCGTTATTTTACACGTGTAACCACTAACAATAGATATGCTAGATTTTTTGTTGCATTGTTTTACATAAAAAAAGTTTAAATATAAATAAAAAAACAGAGACAAACATGTAATTAAATCAATCAATAATCATTTGTGTAAATTAATGGGGAAAAAATCATTAATGATAAATAAAAGTGAAATAAAAAAATCAAAAAATAAATGCAAATCAACATATTTATCTAATTATATTTATTGAGTTTATCTATTAAAATTAATTTTTTATATAGGGAAACGATAACATAAATGAATTAGAATAGAGAAAAGTATTTTTAAAAATAAAGTTCGGTTATATAAAAAAATTATTGATGAATTAGAATAATATTTTCAAAAATTAAATATATATAAAAAAATTAAAACAAAAAAATCCATTAAAAAATGTTAAATTAGAAAAATAAATAGAGTAGGGATGTTTTAATTAAATGATAAAAAATAGAAAATGATAATAAACGAACAAAAATTGTATATAAAAAAAGATCAAGATAACTTGAAAAGAAAACCTAAAGTATAAAATTGAATAAAAAAATAAACAAAAAAAACAAAAGCTCGAGTTAACCTAAACTAGTATGGTAGATATGTAGTTTAGATAACAAGGGGCAAGCTAACCTAGGTTAACTTATAAAACTTGTGGTTAAAGTTATTAGATTAAGATAACCTAATAGAAAAAAATTAAAAAAAAAATAAAGTCACTTTTTAAAAAAATAAAGATAAATAATGAAATAAAAAAAAAAGCCAAAAAAATATGTCGATCCATGTTAACTTTTAAATTTGTAACCCAGGTTATTAGATCAAAAAACACTATGAATAGAAAATTATAAAGTCCAAACCTCAAAAGCAAATGTTGAAGGATAAAACCATAAAAAACAAATTGCACAAATAAGCAAAGATCTAAAACAAAAAATTACAATTAAAAAAACAAGAACAAAAATCAAAATAAAAAATAATTTTGAAGGCAACAAAAAGTTTTTGATTGGATAGTTAAATTGAAAAACAAATTTAACAAAAAAAATAATAAAAGAACGAGGATCAAATTAAAAAAATACACTATAAACTTTGATTGAATGATAAAATTAAAAACCAATAAAATTTCAACAAAATAAGCAAGAAAAAAATTAGAAATCAAAACAATAAGGATCAAATTGAAATATATATATATATATATATATATATATATCAAATGGTAATTGAAGGAATAAATTAAAAATAAACAAAACTTTTATAAAAAGATCTAGAATAAAAATTAATAATAAAAAAATAAGGATTGAAACTTAAATACCAAAAACAAAGAGAAACAACATGTATTTTTTTAGAGATAAGAAAGAAAAGACAACCACTAGCGAGAAATTGTATATCCACTATTATCACATGTTGCATTAGAAAAAAAAAGATGTGGCGTTGCTTCTAACAACTTGACAAAAGAGTAGGTTTAGGCACTAGGATGCAACATATATGTTGATATATGGAGAGCACTCGTCAGCAACTTTTAAAATATTAAAATCAATTATTCAATGTAAAAGGACTAAAATGACCTCCATGAATCTAGAATTAATAGAAAAAAAGCCTATGTAAAAGGACAAAATGCCCCTAAAAAATGTCCTTTGTACTATATTCTAAAAGTAAAAAACATAAATGCCCTTGGTCAACAATTTTTATATTTTTACTTAAAAGTAAAATAATCGTTTTACTATTTAAAAAAATAAAAAAGATACATATATCACATGACAATCTTCTAATGACCAATGAGCCATGAGCCATTAGAAAAGAGTGAATCATCTTTAAAATCAATCATGGCTTCATATTTTTTTCTTTAAATGGAAAAATAATAATTTCACAGTAGTAATGGATTTCTTTTAATTTGTATGTGTGTATAATAATTTTCCTATCTAATTTAGAGTTTTGTAAATTGATTCATAAGTGTTTGAGAGTGTGATAACATTTGTTTTGAAAGCTTTTTAAAAGCACATTTCATTGGAAAATACATTAAATTGATTCTTTAGTTAATGTTGTTTGATGATGTGCTAATGTGAAAAACACAATCTAAAAAAAAATTACTTTAATATATTTTCAAATAAAAAAATAATTTTTAAAAATACCTTACAACACAATATCAAACATAAAAAATAAAAGTTAAGGTATGTTTTCTTCCTTGCATCCCTTATTATTTAACAAATATATGCTAGATAGGTTGCAAGTTATATGCCACAGGTTATATTTTAACATATAAAAGAATTTTAATTAAATAAACTATATTTTATTTAATTATATTGTAATAAAGTTAGTTTTTATGAAAAAAACAATTAAATTTTATCCAAAAAAAACCAAAATCTTAATGGTATTTTAAGAAATAATACTTGAGATATATTTTGAATTAATATATATATATATATATATATATCAAATAAACTTAAAATAGAAAAATGAAGACAAAAAAAAGAACTAGGCATGCAATGGCAGGCCCATCAACCCTGATGTATAAAAATATACATGGTGTGTATGCATGGAGCCTTATGACTAGGTCTAATATTTTTTTATTTAAAAAGAATAGGTTACCTACTAATTTCACCTCTAACCATTTTTGGTGGCTAAGAATCAATAAAAATCCCTTTTCTTTTTCAGACACAAAAACACTCGAAAAAACATCTCATAAACATCAATGAACCAATATATAACATCAAAACAATGTTTAATTGGTAAAAAAAAAATACAAACTTTATCTTAATTAAAATAAAACAAATCTTAAAGGCCAATATATCTTTCCCGGCAAGATGAGGTGCAAAAACATCTTGTAAAACAAAACTCACTAATACCAACAACAATGTTTTTCAATCATTAGAATATGATAAATAATAACTTTCTCTATCCTTAGTTATTATTTAGCAACTTTTTCCTTCTTCTCTCAAATCTAGGGACTAAAATATCAATATTACACCAAATTGTATAATTTGTATATAATAGAAAAAATCACAAAAAGCTAAGTTCAATTTTAATTTTTAAAAGGTTATAAGCAAAAAAATAGTAATTTAAATTGGTGAGACTCCACATGTCCTTTCAATTTTCTAGAAGTATATGGTAATTTCTTTATTTATGTTTGATGTCGTCTTTTATATGGTTCAAATTTCATAATAACTTTCTATTACTTGAGTTGTTTCAATTTTTTATTTTATGAATTGAGTTATTTTGATTTTAAATAGAGTTTAACTTATTATGCTTTATTTAAATTGAACTTTGGTCATAAAAAAGTTATTCAATCTACTTTAGTCCATAATTTAGCTTAAGGTTCAGATTGTAAATTTAATGGGTTAATCTATATTAATAAAAAATAGTGTTGTTTTACTTTTTTATTTTAAAAAAATTTAAATAACATTGTTTGAAGAAAAACTTATTTTAAATTAGATCAAGTTTTAACCGAGTTACATGTTGACTCATTAGGTCAACTAAATCAACTCCTAGTTGATTTTATTTTAAGACCTTGTTTAAGGCTAGAAGGCCAAGTCCTAGATCCTAACCTCTGCATTGACTCATTGGGCCAAACTATTTTATAATTATGGGTCATATATTTTTTTTGATGGCTTATTAAATCTTTTAACTTAATTAATAAGATCTACTTATAAGAAAAAAAAATAGTCATGTGTGAAGTAAATGAGAAGTTTATAAGATATGAAATGACTCGTTAGAAAATATCTTTATACTATATCAATTTGCTTTTTATATTTTTATAAACATTTTTTAATTATTATGTCCATTTATAATATGTTTGTGATTATTAATTATGTTATTAAGTTGTTTGTTAATCATGATAAATTATGAGTAATTTAATAATCTTATTTAAACAATATTTAATAATAGCACATGAACGGTAAAAAAAATATTTAGCAATAATTAACTAAAATGAATGAGCCACTAATATTCTATCAATAAGGAAAAGAGAAGAAAATGATTGATGGAAACGTATTGTCGTTCTATTATGAACATCGCCCATTATAAAAAGAGTTTATTGAGATGATTCAAACCCGATTACAATGTTTTGGATGATGACATAAGAATAAATCACATGGATCACTAGAATAACATTTTGGAAAAGCAAATAGAACAAAACAAAACAAAATGAGTATTTGTTTATATTCAATAAATTAATTCTATTTAAGTCAAGAA